TTAAACCATAAACAGACATATGTAGATGACTTGAATAGGCCTGCTCTTACTCAGAAGATTGTGTTTCTGATGTTTTTATTGACTTGATATTTGCCTCAGGTGCTTTTCTGCACAGCTATGGGGTTTTATGGGTCTTCCTTTAACTCGACAACTGCTCTGTTCTTATTAGTTTCAGAGCAAATTGTTTTATTTATTTAAAATAGTAAGTCAAAAATGTTTTTTCTATTACTATTTGAAAAAGCAAAGATCTTCAGATATTAATTAGAGGTGCACAGATTGACAGGCTGGTGACTGGAACGTCACAATGTTTAGTCTGTTCTACCGTGATCGTGACCGGCACGTCCTTTCAAATGTATCAGATTTTGTGCCAATCCTGGATATATAAACACAAGCCACATTATTCATGCTGTGTGCACAACAACCCATACAAGCTAATGTCAGCAGTGTGGACGAGAGATGCTCACCAGCACAGGTTAAAAAGCATTGGCCTTGGGCGCTGGTGGCGCAGTGGTTAGGGCGCGTGCCCCACGTATGGAGGCTGTTGTCTCAAGCGGGCGGGTTCACTTCCCACCTGTGGCCTCTTTCCCGCATGTCATTCCCCACTCTCTCTCCCTGATTTCCGACTCTATCCACTGTCCTATCTCTCCATTAAAGGAACAAAAAGCCCAAAAATAAATCTTTAAAAAGAAAAAAAGCATTGGCCTACTGTAGGATAAACAAAGACCGTTTCCTGGCACTTGCTCGTCTGGCCTTAAATGAAAGTATGAATCAGTGTCAGAAAGGATGAAACAGAAGTACCTATACCAGTTTTTGTTTCGCATCGGTTAGCTCCATGAATGTAAGCAAGATATATGATTTAATATTCCAGTAAAATTTAAACACTTAAATGATTAAACTTCAGCTTACATATCACTTTGCTGGAAATATTATAGATACATGCATATAAAAAGTAAACGGATGTAAAACAAGACAAAAAAACAACTATTTGTCGCCACAAAGGCTGTTCAGCGAGGCAGCGAATAAGACAGAGGCAGAAAGGTATGTGACTGCAAGCGATAGCCTAATGAAATAGTCACAGATTCCAGGTTTATGTGATGAGTAATAGATAAGTCATTCAGGAGTTGAGAATACAGCTGAAGAAAGTAAAACAGCTTGTACTGAGAATGGGAAATTATCATGTAACCTGTCGCAGCTTTGAAATATTTTTCATTAAACAATTAGCCTAATTAACAGCCAGTGTTTTATCATAACCATAACATTTAATGTCAATTCAAGAAAAGTTACAAAAAAATAAATGTGTTTTGTTTTTGCTGCCAATTATTATTCTCTAAAGAAAGAATTTGGAATTGGCATCACGACCATGAAAAAACGACGAAAAAATAGTTGTCAGCCAAATATACTGCAATCGGTGCATCTCTAATAAGTATTTTTTTTTTATTTCTGAAGGCTGTGGTGCTTTACATCTTTCTCATATGTTGTGAATCTGTGTCTTTCTCTGAAGGAAATGGAGGCTGAGATAAACAAGGCACTGAGGGGAGGTGGTTCTCATGAAGTATTAAGTGAAGGTTTTGGTCTCAGCTTAACACGCAAAGACCTCCAGACCCTCAGCAACCTCAACTGGCTGAATGATGAGGTGAGTGGACTTACTCTTAATGTAACATCTGTAAGTGAACTATCTGCAGGCACACTAGCAACTACCCCACGCATACATTAAAAATGTCATTGATATACCCTTGATATTTCCTGTATTGAATGTAATAATGATTCCACAACTGAGCCATACAATACTGTTTGTCCGGTTTACTGAAACGCTCCGCTCTCAATCTCTCAGGTGATCAACTTTTACATGAACCTGCTGGTGGAGCGCAGCAAGGACCCCGGCCTGCCATCAGTCAACACTTTCAACACTTTTTTCTATCCCAAACTGCGCGACAGTGGCTACTCTGCTGTCCGCCGCTGGACCAAAAAGACAGACATCTTTTCTAAAGACATCCTGTTGGTTCCTGTCCACTTGGGGGTGCACTGGTGCCTCTCTGTAAGTCTGAATGTGTATATCGAGAACCTGTAAGAGTCTTTGGATTTAGATTGCAGTGAATGACTGTGCAACTCTTTCCCTCAGGTGGTGGATTTTAGGAAAGAGGCGATCCTGTACTTTGATTCTATGGGAGGAAACAACGATGAAGCATGCAGAATATTGTTGTAAGTTTCAATACAGGATTATTTCTTTAAATGGAGTATATAGTGTATTTGAAAAGCTAAACAAACTCCTAGAATAGGTTTTCGATGAGGCATCAAAATGTTAAGAAAATAAATAATGTATGTTTCCCCAGGGATTACCTGCAACAAGAAAGTAAGGACAAGAAGGGTAAAGAAATGGATACCTCAGGCTGGACTTTGCACAGCAAAAAACGCCATGTAAGTCTACGACACACACATCGCACAGAGCAGCTGTGTTCAATGTTCCACGTCATAGTGTGTTGTAAAAAGTACACATGTTAATAACTCTGGATGGATGTCTGTTATCAGCAAAAAATAAGTAACAGGCTGTTGTTTTAGCGAGTTGCACCTCCATCAATAGCAAGCTTTCTAAGCAGTTAAACAAGTGGACTCATTTTAATAGTAGAGTTATTTATCTATTTTTTGTTCTCACATAGTCCATTGCTTGGGTCTTGCTAACTAGCAGGTGACAAAGTAGTGATCTTAAAAAAAGTGAATCATTTGAAAAACTGAGTTTCAAGTAGAGAGTGCAGAATACAGAGAGGGTGATTTGACAGTTTTCCTTTAGATAGAAACTGTTTTTGAGGTGCTTTGAGAAATAATGACACTTTCAACCTTTTACATGAAGACAAATTCATCAATCATCTGTTGGCACATTGTCAACTCTGTTTCACTGACACATCCATCAATAGGACATTACTGGGAAGTGGGTGTGTCCTTACTTCAAAACAATGCACTGGTCTCAAACAGCGGTGTTCATGATGTTATTAAATGCCAAGAATGAGCTGTGCCATTGAATTAGAATCATAAATACTTTGTTTATACCCTGAGAGAAATGTGTTCATTACTCTTGCAGCAGGGAATATATCAATAAAGATAGAAGCTGAAGTATAAATAAGATATAAAGCAATAAGTTCCAAAAGCTTTTGGTGTGATAAGCTATGCAAGAGCCATAGATACTTTAAGAACTAATCTATGAACAAAAGGCTCGAAGAGTTGAAGAAATAATGCAATATGTACAGGAAGTGCAGAATATATTATCATATATTTAAACCTCAAAAGAAAAGACTCTGTTACTGTGCAAACTATACAAATGATGCTACTGCACTGTCAAAATCCAAACTCTTATCGCCTTATATTTATACAAATATCAAGTAGTAGTAGAAGAAATCTTTGCAGCTGTTAATAGGTTAATCATTCTTATTGATCAATTATTCTGATGAACCTGTACCAAATGGAAGTTGTTTCTGCATGGTGGATTGCTGTTACATCTGCATGTTCATCCTCTGCTCTCAGGAAATCCCACAGCAGATGAATGGTAGTGACTGTGGAATGTTCACATGCAAATATGCAGATTACATTACCAAAGACAAGCCAATCACATTCACACAGGTAACCACCAACCACATATTCTAAGAACATTTTTACGACAACAATGGCATGAAGACGGCTTACCTGACCTCCCTTTGTATTCACAGAAACACATGCCCTACTTCAGAAGAAGGATCGTCTGGGAGATTGTAAACCGCAAGCTGTTGTGATAAGAGGACCTGTGAACTTAAAAAAAAAAAAAAAAAAAAAACAGCTCACAACGTTTAAAATAAGAGCTGTACCGAGTCGTACAGTGGTCCTTCTTTGGGATCATCTTGCACACCAGCTCATCAGATCAGGAACCAGCTCCTCTACTCTGAATCCTCTAAACCCTCAGCAGATGAGATGGAGCACCCAGCACTGCCTCCTGTCCTTTACCCCACCTATGTTTTTTTAACTTGTACTTGTTGTATTTTTTTGGTGCACCCGTGGAGCATCAGTATGGCAGCTGGAACACTGCATGTTTTGTATTGCTCAGCCAGAACAGATTTTTAAATCACTGTCTTACAAACCATACTGAGATGCAATACTCAATTTGATGCAGACATACAAAGTTTACATGTATTTGCCTTACAGGGAGATAAACGCATTATGCTGCGTAATTCTTATACAGAAAGATATTAAATTATAGTGTTACTGTCATCGTTTGATACTCTATGTGAAAGGAATAATCAACTTTACAGTTCAAAGTATAATGTCAACACATCTGATACCTGGCATCTAGTCCAAAACTGCTCCCTTTGTATTTGGACATGAGACTAGTTCAGTTTTTTTTTTTTTATTTCACCAAAACAGGATGATTTTTGTAAATGTTGAACCGAAGCGCACAAAAGTCTTTATCTCCGACATTGCCTCAGTGTGATTTATAAACAAAGCAGGATGTGGTCTAACCTTTTCCAGTGACATGCATGTCTACCAAAACAGTCATAGATGCCCCCTCAAACGGCAGGGTTTTTTTTGTTCTTTCTTTTCCACAAGTCTTTATAAAAGATTGTAAATTAAGGTCCAAAGTCTATTTTATGTATTTTTTCAGAGGAACGTTTTCTTCAACACAAACTTTGGTGTTCAGTATATTTTGAAATGTGTACATACAAACATATAGCCTCTCGAATAGTGTAATATACTTTTTCTTTATGTATTTTTGTTATCTATTTTTTATCTAGATTCAACTTTGTTATAGAAATAAATGCTCATGTATTGTGTGACTGCTCTTTGTGCATTACCTCTAAATCACGTGTTTGTTTAAAACCGCCATATACATAATATACATAATAATAGATCAATACGAGAGAACCTGGACATGCCTCTTGCCTTATTTGGAGTGCATACCTGATCTCTGTTGTGATATAGATGGAGTCATTTATTAATTCCCTCGAGATTAAAAGGTTCACTTTTGTAATAAAAATACAAACCACAGTGAAAAACTTTTATTTAAAAAAAAAAAAGACAAGCTTAAAATCAAACCAAGTTAAAAGTTTAATAGCTGTAGGATTTTCTTTCTATCAAGACAGACCTGTATGATGGCACAGATAAACATTAACTGAGGGTAGGTTGTTTCACAAAGCAGACTGACAAGCACAGACAAAAATGAAAAATAAACAGCAAACTGACCTTGTGTGACTTTCAACTTTCATGACCTTCAGCTAAAATATTTCTAAATATTTAGCAATCCAAAATTAGCAGCAATAGTTTATCCTTTTACTTACCGTTAAGTGTCACGAGTTTTCTTCAATAGTTTGGTTAAAATAATGGCAAATTTAAAAAAAAAGCAATCTAAAGTTGTAAATAGTTATTTGCTTCATAGATCTCTGTTCAGATTAATTCAATATAAAACAAAATCTCTTCAACATCAGCAGTGCATGAATTCGATTTTTTTCCAGTCTGAGTTCTAGAACACTAAATGTTAGTAGCACTTCACCGTCCCTTCCAGTGAAATTTAAGGCATTTCTGTGAAGTTTAACGTTCTCCTGGAAATAAACTGTTCCATGGTTTAAAAAAAAAAAAAACAGACATCAGTGACTCAGCAAGAAAGTTAACAAACAGGAGGAGACATAATCCCAACATAAAAACTGCAGCTGGATGGGATGGAGAATTAATTAACATCTAAGAAAAAACCTATAGTGTCCTTTCAAAATAAAAGTAAACTAGACAAGTGAGCCATCCATTCACATAAAGAGCACCAGCCACAGATTTGATAGAGTTCCTAAATTTCTGACAGTCATATGAAGGACCACTTTTTGGTTTGAAATATTTCCCTTTTAATGTAGCAATGAATGAACCATAGATGAACATGTCTGTCAGAAAACAAACCTTTTCTGTATTATATAAAATGATCGTCATGTGAGCTAGGATGTGAAGTCATAATGTGAGGTGTTTCTCGGATATCTGTAGTATTGCATTTATAAGGATAATAAATAAATTGCATAGATCGTCAGACCTTGGGCATGTTTTCCGAACATTGGACGGAAGAGTTAAAGGAGGTGGACACAGTACCAGCTGTGAAAAGCCATGAGACCTGCAGTCGTTGGTTATTGCCTGTGAACCTTGGACACAAACTGGATCTACATTGCTCTGGCAGGATGAGGTAAGTCAAGGTTATTGAACATATTCTGTTACATTGATCCCAAATGCTTAGGGCACAACTCTGTAACAATGCATCTGAACCTGGCATACATGATTCATCTGTGTTTAGGAGTGCCGTCATCTGTGACACAGACGTAACTGAAACGACTGATAGAAAAACAATAAAGCCTCTTAGTCATCAAAACGGAAACCAGACTAAGAACAGAATGCAAACATACAACAAATCTCTTTCCAAATTAAAAAAAACAAAAAAAACAAAGCTCAAAACATCTAAATCTCACTATTCAAAGCACACAACACACTATAAAAATAAAACCAAAGAATCTTTGAAAAATAGGACAAATCTTCAAAACTGAATAAAAAAAGGAAATAAGAAATGTAAAAACAAAAAAAACATGAAAGTGAAAAACAGAAATTTAGAAACAGCAACAGCCAGTATGAAAGAATCTCTATACTGGTCATTATAATCCACCTTGGTTGTGTTTTTTTTCTTCTGAAAATTAAACAGGACAGAGCTACACTTTACCATTTGATCTCTGTGTCTGTCTAGGAAACACTTCATGCTGTGATTTAAACATCCTGTCATTGCTTTAGAAACTACATTTTCAGGATCTAGTCCCATCCAGTTCCCCTTTTTATACAGGGGATGTGAGGAAAAAACAATTGTACATCAAATGGACACGTTTGGTCATACGTTTTCAAATAACTGCGGCATTACTTCAGAGGGGAGGAAATCAAATCAAAGCTGACAATACATTTAAATCTCTTATTTACAGGCAGCTCTGTGTGAGATGTGATCCCTGTTAAGAAACTTTGGATTTAATCATAAGGAGCAGCTCAAAAGGATCACATATCTAGAACTTTCTTTGAAATCTCTGGAATGCTAGAAATCGATTCAGCCAATCTTAAAGATGTCTTTTCTAAATGACCGTTATCCCTCTTAAATTTCTCTTCCTTGTTTTTCGCCTGATTGTCTGAAGCTTTTATCGAGATTGTTAGAACTATAAACTATGAGAGAAGTGCCAAAAAAGAAGCAATACGGCTTCAGCTGAGGTTTAACACCTGATGAGCCTTGAGAGAAACTAATTTACGTCAGCACCATATCCATCGACAGCACGATTCATCAGCTTTTTCAAAGACTTCTGCTTGTTTTTTCGAGCCTTGTGTATTCAAATATTTGCAGCGATCAAAGTAGGACACATGGAGCGAGAAACACAGCAAAACGAAGAATTATGTACAAAAAGGCAGGTTCAAATCATGAAAGTATCAGACAAAAAAGTGAAGTGAAAACAGTATATCTTACAAAAGGTAAAAACATAAAGCATGGTGTTGAAAAGTTCCCTGGTTCAGAAACCTTTGAAACTTGTGTAGTGTGTGTTTGTGTCCTTCTCTAAACTTCCATTTATCTAAATGGATGCCCCTTCTTCAGATATTTCATTTCCTGGTTGATGCGCTCTTTAAGCTTCGCTTGCTTGGAGAAAAGGAGTTTGTTTGAAATTATGAGTTTGGAGAAAATATCTTTTGCTTGTCCTTTCTGTGTAACAGTTTTTGTTCCCCCAGAGCGACTGCTGCTTGTAGAGTCACTGTGCACGTTTTCAGCACGTGGGCCCCTTCTGAGGGTCGTTCTGGCTCCAGAGGAAGATCTAACACAAGATGACAAAATAAATCAGTTACAAATAAGAAATCGTATTTTTTATTTCATGTGCAGTATGCCTTTTACTACAGGCAAGTTTTCTAGTCATGTTTGAAATATTCCCTTTCAAATCATGTGCAAATTAACATTCAGATCTTTTTTTTTTTTTTTAATATATAGATTTTTTTTGGACAGGACAGTTGAAGAGAAACAGGAAATGTTAGAGGTAGAGAGTGGGGGATGACATGAAGCAAAGGGCCGAGGTCCGACTCAGACCTTGGGCTGCTGCAACGAGGACCCCAGTCTCCGTACATGGGACGCGCAACAAAACGCCCCTGTTTCAGATCATTTGTACTATTACTTTTCATGTTCTGAGCTATTTTATGTTCATCATAACATGCAACATTCCTTTTCAATTTCAGGCGCCATGTGCAATATCACTGATCCAACCATCATGCTATGCTAACACCCTCTTTAAATTAACTTTCACTGCAGCTATCATTCATTATCAGTTTTCATTATGATCATGTACAATCCATCTAATAGCCTATGATATCTTTCCTCATTATCTAGTGCAATATTAGTTTTCAACTTTTCACTGCCATTAAATATTACAGCCAATGATGCCATCGCTTCTGTACCTGACAGACTTTGGTAATTAACTTAGCATACTTCTATTATTGTGCTATTTTCGGATCTGTTTCTTTGCATTCAAGCCTCATCCACTTCATATTTGAATTTTATATTTTTGTTTTTTTGGATTTCATGATATTTGATGGGGTTTTTTTTGTCACTCTTACTGTAATGTTGGAGTATTCAGTGTGTTTCCTTCGGTATATCTTATCTGCTATAGTCTCTTTTTTTCATTATTTTAATAGCTGGACAAAAAACACTTTTTCGCTGCATGCAAAATCAGCATGCACTAGCAACGATCAGAACCCACCTCTTCACTTGTTATGCTGGTAGGAGTAGGTTGTGTGTTCTGTGGGTGTCTCTATGGCAACAGGTGGTTGGACAGCACTTTCCTGAGAGGGAGGTAACCAATGAGTGAGTGTTTCACAAAACATTTTAGTGGTACACTGTTCTATTCAAATAGAGCATTACCTCAACTGAGATGTTGGTGGCAGGCACTTGGGTGTACTGGGGGATGTAAGTCCCCTGCATAGATGTGTTAGCAGGCATATACTGCAGGAGAAGGGTGGAGAAATGACAGTTACTTATATTGCATCTACACCGTCAAATAATAATGTGGTCCAGATGACTCAAGTCTGAAACTATTACTGTCTAATAGTAACTAATTCAGCCTCCAGAAGATCCCCTCCCACTTTCTTTAGCACATATATGTAGTGTTTTTCAGCTGCTGCTCTGAGTAGAAAAAGTGTGTTTTTTTTCTGATTGACTTTTTTTGGCCTTCACATCAATTATAGCTGCACCGCTAACTGTAATCATTTCCAGTTTATTGTTTGTTCACTTGCACTAAAATTGTTTAGGTCGGACCCCTTTTTTTATTTGGATACAGGCAGCAACATATTAAACTGAAATAATAGTCATACATGTTTTACACCATACAACATTTGATCAATGTTAACACAAAGTATACATATAATTCTTTTCATTTCACTGTTTCTGAAGTAAAATTAGAGAGAAAACAGATCAAGTGACCTGCATGTGGGTATAAAAGCTCTAAATAGGCATATGAGGAGAATGTTGTATTAATCACAGAGCATGGAGCCTTACAGAGTAGATTCATTTCATTTTAAACATTTTTTTTAAATGATTTTCTTGGGAAATGTGCACCAAGTTCCAATTGAAAGATTTAACAATATGAATTAGGTCAATGTCAAATATTTTGCTTTTTCATCCAACTTCATCCATCGCCTTTGTGTTTGAATGCTAACTACTTTACTGACTGTGCCACTGCTGCCCATGGAGAGGTGGCTGAGCTGTTGCGTCAGGGGCCCCATCATGGAGGTGGGCTGCATGGACATGGTGTGGTCCATTCCTGGTGTCAGGACTGCTCCCTATGGAAAACAAACAGAGCTGTAACACTCATTGTTACGACTGAGACGCTCTTGTTCAGTCAAACAAACTAAAGCAATATTAAAAGGCAACAAAAACAGGGAGGTTGAAGACACTCACTGTGGGCGGCATGATGTATGATTGGTGATGTAGCCAGGATGGGTTGTGTACCTGCAGGGTTACCACGATTAGATTGCACAACTGGTAAATAGGTAAGAACATGTGAGGTATTTCATAAGCTTAGGGGATCTGGCACTACCTGGTATGTGGACACAGGTGAATGCATGTATGGGGAGAGGGAGGACGGTCCAAGCATCCGGTTTGGGGCAATGCTGTAAGGAGAGGAGTAGAACCTACAGAGAAAAACACAAAACTGTCACCACAAAATCATATCATTTCCTCTGGGTATATACTAGTGATTAGACAGAAATAAATGGCACCGACCCGTTCTGTAAGGCTGTGGTGGGGTCATAGGTTAGGGTCATTCCTCCCTTGAGGAAAAAGACAAAGGACTGTGTTATTATGAAGCAGATCAGCGAACCATAACCTTGGCTCTGTTTTTCGAGAGGTCATTAGGATATGTAGAACTCACATTCTCCCCATCTCTCGCCCAGGGCCGGCCATTCTGCAGATATTTCCCTTGGCTCTGACGCTTCTTCTGGCCTCCATCGGCAAATTTACACAGCAGTGGCTCTAACGGCACTAGAACAGTGAGTTATGTTATATAAAATGACATACATACACAAACATGTGGACACTTTTCTTCGGAGATGTTGTCTCAAAAAACAAGAAACAGCAAAAAAAGGAACCTCACCTGGAACTCCAGGTGGAGTCTTAATATATTTTCCATTAAAGTGTTGGATGATGGCTTCACATTTCTCTGTTGACTCCATCCTAAAGGAAAGGGGCAGAATTAGAGTTCATTGCAGAGGATCACTGTTTTTTCACAGTGAAGCAGGTTGCAAAGTAAATACTTCCAGTTGGAGAATTTCTACCTTTGCTGGCCACCAGAGGGCTCACTCACCATGATTCGTACTCAAAAGTTTGTATGTAACTTGGGACAAGTTTCAGGTTACATAATTTACATATTAAGCAATACTACAGGTCTGTTGGGCAGTGGGCCCACCAGATAATAAACCTTCATAGAAGCAAATAAGGTGGTGACCAAACACATCTGGACACAAATCATCTAAATCCATATGAGACAAAGAGCTTTTACCTGGCAAAGCCCACTCCCCGGCTGGTTCCATTAGCGTCACGGAGGATGCGAGTGGAAATGGCCTGGCTGAAGGGCTTCAGCATGTTCTCCAGCTCCTGCTCGTCCATGGACTGAGGCAGGTTGGAGATGTATAAATTTGTGGGGTCCTGCTCCTGTTGCTGTACACGGGGGAGAAGCCAAAAGAGGATTAAAGAATGAGGAAGTAGAGCAGACAGAGCTCTTAGGTTTCATTATCACAAAGTCGGCAGCTCTCCAAAAGTCAGAGTAGAAGAGAGAAATTGTAGAGGGGTTTTGAGGTTGAAGGATTATTTCATTTTTGCCTTGCATGGGAAAGAAAGCTGCATAGATGAGGTCTCATGTGAACAAAGCCATTTAAAGATGGTGGAGATAGTTCTCTGGCTGGACTTCAGCTGAACTTGTCTCTATTTTTTCTTCTTCTAATCTAATTCATCCATCTAAGAACTTTTTTTTTTTTATTCTTCACTTTCCTCTCATCATCACCCAGTTATAATTACCATAAGGGCAGCAGAAGACAGGCTCTTTGTGAGAGACGAGCCTCTTGAGAGGATGAAAGCGCAGGTTCCAGGGAATGTGATATCAAAGCGTAATTACATTGCAAATGGCTCTCCAACCATGGACGATCTAAAATGATTATGTGCTCTCGCTTGGTTGAAAATCCCAGTAGAGACGTTTTGGACAAAGATCTGAATGATCTGAAGAACATCTAAAGCATTGTGCTATCATCTCCCCACCAGGCAAACATTAACAACCTGTTTCCTGGGTCACAGTAACAAGAAGTCACATGCATTCAAGAATGGGGTTACTTCTGACCAAAACAATGCAGTAACAGAGGCAAGATCTGCTGTGTTGCATAAATACAACAAATTCTGCAGCTTTTCAGAATCTGATTTTATTGGAAAACACCATGTAATAAATTCTAAAATAAATGCAACTGTTTCATTTTATGCTCTTGAAGTATACCATGCTGTTTTCCCCCCTTTCACCTCCAGCTCAAACGCATTTCATTTGAGTAACAGCATCTTGCAAGATAACCAATCTGCTCCCCCTTAACCATTCTGCATATTCATTATCTCAGATTGCAAATGTGATTAAAAACCTGTAAATGCTGTGTGAATTAATTTCCATCCAATGAATTATGCATGTGCAATCACTGCGACCTGCGTTGAAGGTGATTTCTCCTTCACCTATCTCCACCTCCTCATTCTCTTCCTTCTTGCAGCAGTGCAAACTACAGATGAAGCTCAAACCCAGGAGAACGAGCTGAGCGGAGAAGACCTGCTGTGGGTTTTGAGCGTGGATGAGTCAGACTGAGTCAGAGAAAAAAGTGACGCTAACATAAGCCCTGTTGTAAACCCGGAGTGAAGTAGAGAGGGGAATAGAGTTATTTTGTGAGCAAGGAGCCGTATGAATGTCAGTGATCCAGCTTAACCAGAGATCAGCTTTCCCAGGGTGTTGGGTGGGTGCATGCATGTGCATGTGCATGTGCATGTGCATGCTGTGTGTGTGTGTGACATAATCCAGTGGAGTGCATGTGAGATTGTCAAGGGTGCTGCGTGTGTGTATGTTGACAGGGCGGGTGGCTGGGCAGAGGGCCCTGCTGACTGGGGAGCTGCTCAGACACTGAGTCAGAAGCCACCAGGGAGAACAGACAGGTCCTTTGTACAGACAGCATGCTCCCAATACACCGTCACCACTATGAAACACACACACACACACACACACACACACACACACACACACACACACACACACACACACACACACACACACACACACACACACACACACACACACACACACACACACACACACACACACACACACACACACACACACCTGTGTGTATACACGGAAACTACACTCTTGTTTTTGCACAAACATAATCTTTAGTGTATTAATACCCATTAACACACGGATTCAACCACACACCCATTTGTGCAGGAAGTGCAACACCCAGAAAACACACAGATGTGCACGCACATGCAGACTGAGGCTTAATTGGCTTATATTCATTAATCATTTAACAGAAAAAGTGTGCAATAGATAGAGAGAGAAGGGTGGCTTTTAAAGAGAATTTCTTAAGAAGGAGAAAAGTACAAGGAACCTTTCTTTCTGATCAAGATATATATACTTTTTTTTAAGAATTCTGAGTGAGTGCTGGGTCAATTTCAAAAGGCAGAGACTCTCAACCTCTGACCTTTAAGTTGTAAGGAAAAAAAACAGCGAAGCACTCATAACTGCAGCGGGGTTCTTACCTTGGCCATCTGAGCCTGAACTCCACCTGCCTTCAGCGCCGTCACCGCCTTCTGAGCAGAGGCCGGACTGTCAAAGTCCACAAAGCCATAGCCTGCAGGGACAAAGACATACAGCAACAACTACATGTTATAACTATGCATTGTTATGTGATACCAGTGCCTTACTGTACAAACACACAGACATGTGATTTGAACTAATGAAGCACACAGTGTGGTAGTGTTTGAATCTGATGAGACAGCCAGCCATGTTTCAAATATGAAGTGTCTTGTATCAGTATCCACTCCACTCGGACCTTCCAGATCTTAAAGTCTTTCAACCTTGAATTATTATTATTTTGGTAGTTTTGAATTTAAACTTAAAAATAAAGACCAGTCCCATATGCAGATATCCCACGGATACCATTTTCTAAGCTGCGGGCTATGAGCTGCATCTGATCCGATAAATATTTGTATTTGTAAATAATTTTGAGGACCATGATATCCCCCCTCCATCTTTAAATTACCGACTATTTTCTGATACAACCCCAACAAAATTAATTTTAATTTGCAGTTGTAACATGACAACATATAGAAGGCAATTCACATCTCAAGGCAGTAGAGATGTGAAGTTATACAACACATCCCTTTTTATGTCTCAAAATGCAGATGGCATATTTTTAAAGTAGGTATAGCTCAATGCTTAGCACACATTTTACACTTTCCAACCTCAAAAAAAACCACCCTTTACTAAAAAGGAAGTGTCAGCAATGTGCTGTAACTTTCTACTGGTCACACCAGAGCAGATACAATGGACCATTTAGTATTGTTATTCCATCTCTTGTGTTGAAAATGTATTGACTGAGAAGTAAAGGTGATAATAAATTCATATGCATATTTGAGACAAACAGCTTTGTAAACAGGACAAAGTAAAAAATACATTTTAGTTTTTTCTTTTAAGTGCTAGAGAGCAATATTCAAAATATATTTTATGGTCTCCAAATTAATTATTGAATTTATATTTCTAATTTACAGATTCACCTTTTTTGAGTCAAGACAACAGTATGTAGTAGTACACAGCAAGTATGAGCTACTAAATAGAGGTTCAATCATTTGTCAGTTAATGAAATTTGTCCAGTGACAAACTTATTCTACTAGCATTGGGGGCTACAGTACATTTAAAGTTTTAAACATCTGTAGTGCACTGCTCTTTTTTCTCAAAAACTATACAACTCCCCTCCCACATTTTTTGATTGATTAGAACTAAAAACTTGCAACATGGTATCTTCACACTTTCCACAACAAATGATCCTGCCCACAAAAACAAGCCTGAAGTATACACAAGTAAGTGCACAATGTAATACACTAATAATTCACCAATATTCATAGAAATGTCATTGTTATGTCCTGTTAGATGAAGTATAGTAATTTCTTTTGTACATTGTGAATCTTTTTTTTTTTTACTGAGACTCATCCTGTCTTTGTAGTATTATTTGTGCTCTTTTTTGAACCTCGACGTACTTGTAAAGGAAGGAAGATTTTGGAGGCTTAAATAATAGTTTGAAATGAAACATGAATGAAAAATATAAAAAGTACTTTGGCAAGAACTTTGCTGTGTTACACATTATGCCACTAGTCTTCTTGCCATACAAAATGGGATTCCTGTCTCCAAGACAGTTTTTAATACAAAGGCAGCGGGGAAACTCTGCACAACCGTTACTTTCAACCATTTACACCTCACCTTTGCACTTGTTTGTAGTCTTGTCCAGGATGGCCTTGGTGGATACAATTTTCCCATACCTGAGAGACAGAGAGGTTTAGGCTTAGCAGTTTTCCTTACATGATGTACTGAAAATAATATGTTGTTTGAATTAAGCATTAGCATGGACAGAATGTTGATGCAATCAAAAAAAAAAAACTTAAAACACCCAAAGAGGTTGTACCCCATGGTAACTGTATGATCATTCACCTGACAGACTTACAATTACATCACCTGATATTGAATGATGTGCATTAGGAAATCTTTAGGGAGGGGGCAACACTTGAATTGTATAAAATGAGAGTAATGTCCTAGGGGTTTCTTAATGCTACAAAGAACTATAGATTTCCTATTACTCCAGCTTACACACACGTAAATAAGAATCAAAACTCAAGGGGAATTCAATGTAAAATATGGTCAAAATAAAATGTTTTTAAGTGCATTTTCAGAAAGCCTCACAACACATTATCAATGTAAAAATCTGAAGTATCTTTCCAGCTGGCCGGCTATAGATCCTGCAGATGCATACGATAAAGCCTGGTCAGGGGAAATGCTTCTGTGCAGCAGTGTGTCTATCAGTTCCCATCTCTCCAGGCATGTGCATGCAGTGTAATCTGATATGCCTCTCCTTGGCTGTCCTGTCCAATGCTGGCTCCCAGCCATACTCTCATTCTACTAACCAGCTTCTCTCCAGGCAGCGCTCAACCCTCTTCGGGGTCTTAGTGCCCCCTCGCAATGCAATCCATCTTTCATCCTGTGGCTCTGACTGCCACATTTCATCTGAGCTAGAATAGTTACTTTTATAATACACTCTAATAAAAAGGATTAAGCACTGGCCTGATAAAATTCTAATCTGGCAGTAAATCTGTTTGAGTAGTCCAAATTGGAAATTAAACGGCGTCGTTCTAGTTAATTTAGGATTACTTTCCCTGTTGTTAAAAAATTGCATTGAAATCTTTATGCAGTTAAAAAAACACTGGGGGATACTACAAATCTGTTTGTTTTTTACTTGATATTTAAGAAATATCATACCAACATTGTATTATGTGTTTGTTTTCTAAATATCTGACTCTATTCAACTTCTCCTCAAACTGTGCTCATACATTGCTGGTTAACTGACGCTCTTTTGTATTATGCATTTGACTTCTATATACCATTATTATTTCATGATGCATTTCTGATTCTAAGCCATTAGTTGCCATAAACTAGATTGAATGGTGATGCTAAGCAGGCTTCCTTTATTTTCAGATAAATTATCACTGTCGGCACAGAGCAATCCCACAAGTCCACATCTTCACATTATGTCTCAAACATTAAAACTAAATGCTATACTTGCAGTACTTTCTGCTGACACCGTTGAGATACTGGATTACTTAATAGAGCTCAGAGATCTCAAAGTACATGATGCAGAGCAAAAAGTGGGGCTACAGATTCAGCCATGTGTGAGAGAGCACAGCACGGCCAAGCCTGATGTCCATCCATGGTCAACCACCAGAGACGGACAAGGGCAGGAACCAGAGCGGCAGTGAAGCACCCAGAGAGATAACTAAGGGGCAAGAGAGATGGAGAACCAACCCCCATCTCCTTCTCTCATCCCTCACTCTGAACACAGTACATCTCAGAGCTGCATACAACTACTCTGAGTGTGGGGGAGGGGAGCTTTGGGAGTGTGGCGTCCTGATACTCTGCACACATTTACTGTTCAAACTTGAGTTAAAACAGTTTAATTTCTTCTCTGACAGTCTTTCCTACTGTGTTACATCCGTATTTTCACGCATGCTCCCTATTGGCTGTTATTGGATACGCTTTCCTCTCTTTGTGTAGCTTAACACAGAATAACAGTGGCCTTGATGTGCGCTGCTAAAAGGCAAATTTCATGCAGTGATTTTATCTGCGCTGTAAAAGCAGAAATACAAGAACTCCCCCCACAGAAACACCACCTGACATACAACCCCTGAACTCCATTCACTCCTCCCCCTCTGATTCTATCCATCCACCCCTTTTTTATCCCCCCCTCCTCCTCCTCCTCCTCATGCCGTTGCCCTTGTTTGTCTTTCCCTTTCCCCTGGGCTTGCCGTTTCCTGTAGGGTTAGGCAGCCTCATGTGAGCAATATCTTCCAGACAGCTGTAAAATAGCAGGCCTCTCCCTGCCACCCTCCCTCACTCCCTTCGTTTTTTATTCGCTCCAGCCCCCTGCCCCCCCCCCCGCCCACTCTTTTCCCCGGCTGTTGCGATCCTCGTCACCAGGCGCCAGAATTCAATTAAGTGAACCCAGATCATACGTCTCAGCTCTGCTTGTTTTGATGTCCTGTTGAGGACCTTGCAAACATATCAGATGGTTTGGATGATGCCGCTGTTTGATGTCTGACTACACAGTGCCCACAACAAGGAGTCACACTTGAACTGATGAGCCACATAGAGTGGTATTTATAGAACAGAATATGACTTTGAGTTAGGATACCATTGTGTCATTGTCGTCATAACTGTATAATAGAGCATGGAGGAGCTATAATGCATAAATGCTTGAAGGCACGAACGAATGAGTGCGAGAGAAGCAGACTAAACATTCTGTACCTAGTTTTTTTGGAAAGGCTGTGCTTAGCTGGGCCAAACTGAAGGACCTTAGTTTTCAGCACAAATTACTGTTGTTTTTTCCATATGGCCACTAAAGATGGCCCTTTAAAACATCTGGATGAATATATGGCCCTCTTTTACGATCCAGAAATACCTGCTAAGGCTTTCTGTATGCATGTATGGAGTCATGCAATCCTTGTTTCATTCAGTCAGCCGACGCCCATCCATCAATGCCCCCATCACTCTCTTCTCTTTTAACTTAGACTGCAACTGCAACCTGTTTCATGTTCGCAGCAGGCAGCTGGAGAGAAACGAATTGGGTGTATATGTAGAGGTTAGATCTATTGGTTTTTCGGGGGACTTACGGCTGACAGAGTTTGACCAGATCCTGGTCTGTGGTCCCTGGATGGAGGCCGCGGATGTAAAGGTTGGTTTTGCTCAGCTGCTCTCCCCCATTGCTGCTGCTGCTGCTGCTGCTGATGGAGTTGGTAGTGGAATTGTTATTGTGGTTGTTGTTGGGGCTTGGGGGAGCCATGTGATGGTTGGAGGGGGACACATACGTCTGCTGCAAAACAAATAGAGGGGAAAGTCAAATCTTGGACAGTAAAGCAAATAATTCTTTAAGTACATGATATTAAGTGAATAACTAGATGCAAAGCAAGAACAGCAAGATAATGGTTTACTTTTTAAGAGACAAGACAGAAAATAAGAAACAGTAGCTGATTAACCTAACGACAATGTTTTGACTTTACAGATCAAAATATATGACATTAATCTACAAACAGATGGAAATATACGAAGTGAGTGTAAGATTGAAGTATGTACATTGAGCTGAATATGCACGTATTCATAATAAAAGGTTATTCATATAGAGAGCATCTTTGGTGATACTAAAAGTCTTATGTGTACATAATACTATAAAGGCTCTGAATGTGCCCTGCTTAGCATTGTTGAAACCATAAAATCCCCATCTACACTAAACAAATATTTACTGATAGAATTCATTAATCTCCTCTGCGAGCAAACAGCTGCACAGTCTCCCACGTGCATGCTGTTAGCGCAGGAGATAAAGGAACGGTAGTCCTACAAGATCGTGTTCACTAACATTCTGTGCAACCTGACCTTGACCTTTCTAGTAAAATGTTGTTGCCTGTAAATGTATTTCCCTTGCTTTACAGAAAGATGGGATACAGAATCATTGCTCTGTCTGTATATCTAAAGCACGTGTTTCACAAATTTTCACGACGATCTAGTACAGTTTGTGTACAATACACATCCCTGAAATCTATAAGTGTGCTTATTAAATCAACCTTATTTAATAACAAAGAACTATCAGAGAAATACTGCTTTTGACAGAAATGTAAACTGTAAATGTTTATAGCACACATTGGAACTATGCCTTGTGTAACTTGTGCTGGCAACTGAATCCATTAGCAGAAGTAAGCTAATATCAAACTGGCTTGAAAGAAAGTGGCTAACCTCCACAGTGCTGTCAGAAAGGCCTTTATGCTATGGGTTGAGCCTGAAAGGGGATTGGCAAACAGTTTTCAATGGGAGCTTTGATATATTTCCACTTAAACTGTTCACAGGGAGATCTGTAGATTAAACTGTGCTAACTGTACTTTGTTTCTGGAGAATAATGTTCATATTGGCTTTGTCAAATTGATTTTCATTGGTGCTTTGGGCAGCAAAAGACTAATTACATTCACCACTATTGTCTTTAAGTTGTGGCTAATTGACCTTTTAAGGTAAAGCACTTTTTTATTAAGCGTTATGGTCAAATATATCTCTGCCACAGTCTCTCATAGGATTGTTTGTGTTTATATTAAGGCCTTATATGCACTGTGTTATTACCTTATATATCTACCAAACGTCTGCTGAGCTCAATACGTTAACTGGCAGATTGCAACTGTACACTGCTTACACATGTTTGAATGTTAAAAAGCACTTTGCAGGGACCTTGATCACCTTTAAACATCCATGCAAGGAGAACCTTATATGTATGTATAAAAATGCATGGGCAGATTTTTTTAAAATCCTGTTAAAACATTGCATTGTATTCCCAAATAAACGTGGTATCAAATTGATAAGACAGGAAAACGTCAGCTGAGCTTGGCCTCTGTGTTGCCCTATGCCCAGTGCTGGTGGAGGAGGAACTGTTTGATTAGTTAGGGTCAGCAGGCTCAGCCCCTGGGAACAATGGGATGGCTTGTTGAACACCATAAGGTCAGAACTGGAGCTCCGGCCTATTAACCGAGCAGTAGTTGTCAAAAGACTGCTGGAATCAAGCTAATTATGACCTCTATTTCTCGATGCTGAGGACCATTTTTAACTTCCTACTCGGCCTACAAGTTAATTTGTTATCCCAGAAACACATAATTATGATGGGACATCACATAAAAAAAACTTGACTGCTAAAAGTGAGTCTTTAATGTTCTGAAAATTGAAAAATATATCTCAAGCATTCAAAACTTAAAATGTGCTTCGTACTCACTGTGTTTGCAGTCTTATGTTTGCAATTGAGCACAACTAAATTCTGTCATTCCACGATTCACACACTCATGACATTCATTCCATTGACTGGATAAAGAATCAATTAAATCCACATTCAAGTAACATTTAGTTGCGTTAATATGTGACAGATTAAATTCCGCGATAAAGAAAAACAGAACTTGGATGGACGTAAAATCAACATATCATTTGAGCGCCAATAACCAATCCAAGTACATAATACAGAATGCATTCTTATTGGTCACAGGTGATGTCAGTCAATCAACAGTCAGCAGCTGGAAAACGCAAAAAAATGTGCATAAAATTAAAAGCTTATATGTTGTAGTACTTTGTGTGTAATTAAATCAGCGTATATTGTATTTTATTTCCACAACAGGGTGTTACTGAGCAGTAAATGTAAGCTGTGACACAGAAGTATAGCAGCTACATTATACAACATCTACAGTCGTTAGCTCGCTAGCTGGATGTTCAGAAGTTTGAACACTATATGCACAAATTGTATTATCTTTGAACTTTTTCAAGTTTCACAACAGTAAAATAAATTAATGATGTGCTTTCTTACCATTGACAAGATTATTTTCAACTCTAGATCTATAGCTGGCACAGCCCACTTCAAGCTAACTATGCATGCAGGATTGATACAATATCAAGGGTGCTTACTTAGCAAAGAATGAAAATCACTACTGCAAAGCTATTTTTTTTTTTACCCTAAACTTATTATAAGCCCTGATACAGGAAAGGGGGGACCTTGGTATCCCTTTTTATTTTTTTTACATTATAATAAGGTTACTTACAAGTACTTAAGGACTGTATACTGACATGAGTAGCAACAGTGGTGTTTTGCGAGCTTAATTTTACCCACACTGCAACTGACTTATGTTTTCCAAACTGTTCAAGACATTTTCACTCTCCGTCTTAGAAAAGCTCAGAAAATCTTGGGGCACTATGGAGTTTTGTAGAGAAATGTGAAAGTTTGAGAAGTGTACAGATTCTTTGGTGTTCATTACACAAACTGTCCTCAGAGGAACATTTGGTGGTATGGTTATGGTAGGCCCGCAACAGTGAAACTATAACCCTCCTGGTAGCTTTTTTTTTTAATCTCCAAACAGTGTACCAGGGACCCAAGTTATTACTTTGAATAAAGTTTTTGTATTCAGTTCAGAAAATATAGCATAGAATTGTTTCACTTCTCCAACTTTCAAATTTCACCACCAAATCTACATAGTGCACCTTTAAAGAGCTCATTTTCTACGTAATTTTCTCTATTCTAGTTCTCTTACGGCAGCAATAGCTCACTGTTTGTTTTCCCACAATCACAGCCTCTTCCTGTGCTTTCCCTTGCCTTCACGTTAGGCGGCCCGCACATTATCAAAAGGGATGCACCTGCAGAGGCTTGAGGAGATAAGATCTGAAGGGAGACCAAGTCTGGGCCCGAGCCTAGCTAGTGAGGCCTGTCTAATTGGGATCTGAGCTTGTTAGCGGAAAATGCTAATCCCTCTCATGTGCTCTCAAGTCAGAAGGTAGTGTCTCATTAAGACCGCACTGCTAGGCTCCTTATGAAAGATGGATGGCAGTGAGACACATCCACACCTACTCCCCATTCACCCCAGTGCTAGATGTTTTACCACCCATGTAAGGTCATTTCTGATGTGTTTGTGAACACGTGAAAATATGCATGCAGAATAAAAGAAATGTTAAAAAATGAAAGTGGGGCAACATTAAAGGTCTTAAATGTTCACGATTGGTAATCAGAGTTCGGATTTTTTCAGTGCAGAAGGTTGCATATCTTCTCAGTGTCCAAAAACCTGACCTCTTGGTATGCAACTGATTCCTAACTTGTTACTTTTCAGTCCACAGCCGCCCACATCAAATTTTTCACGGTTCTTTACCTCCACCACAGTGTCCTACCTCAGCATTCCTTTGCAACACACACATGCTTATGGTTCTCTCCTTTAAGTGGACAGGAGTTGTACAAAGAGGGAGTTATGTTTGTAGGAATTAGGTCATAATCAAAGAAGAAGTCATTATTAAATCAAAATACCAGAGGTGCCACAATTCTACAAAAAACAAAATGTAATACATGTATCCTATTCTGCCAATGACTTTTGATGTACAGCTGCTCTCAGCCACTTCAACAACACTCAGACAGCACAAAGAAGATGGAATATATAGTGCTCACATCCCGATTACTTTTGAAAGAGTATGCAGTTATAGTTGCAGAATATAGATCTGCTCATTGCCTCATCATTACAGTTGTGCAAGAAGCATTACAACAATTAGCGGCCTTTAGCATGTTGCAAAGAAAGCGACTGCACCAGGCAGCATCTGAAGACTGATGAGGTGATTACAGTTAGAGAGAGTCAGAGGTGATGCCTGTAGGGAGCCTAGGTGACTCAAGGACATTTTATCTGAGGTTGAACAACAAGTACCAATGAAAGATTTTTTTTTTCCTTTTGACATTCATATGCACAATTTGATTTATCTGTAGAATAAATTGATTGTTTTGTATTATTTTGAACAAAATACTTTATGTTACCATACAGTAACATTTCTAAAATGCACAACAAAACTGTAAAAATACAAATCTCTATATTGCAGGATATAGTTATTAATGCTCTGCATCACATAGATGTTGGCACATGATATATCGTATCTTTAATTAAAACCAAAATCTGAAATGTATATTCATACCTGCTTTCCTAAAGACACTTTAAATGGCACAGTAGAAAAGATCATACTGTCACAGAATTAAAAAAAATCCTTTTTTCAGCAGCTGGAAGCGAAACGAGTGCAATGTTGGAAGAACGAAATTTAAAAAAAATGATGAAAATCCTCAGCGTCCTCTGGCTAAAACGAGAAATGTCTTATTCCTTACTAAGTCATAAAAAAGAAAACAAAAAAAAACATCTTAACATGCTCTTAAAATAGTATGTTTTCAACAGGTATCAAGCACAGTGAGGGGAGCATAGAGTCAATTCAGAGGACAAGGCATTCATCAGTAAGGAGGAATGTTCATGCTCTCCCTCTCCATGAGAACTGCACCACTGACAGACAAGAAATCAAGGTATGTGAAACACAGAAGAGAGGAAAAAAAGAGAGGGGGAGTTAATCGAAAGCAGAAGAAAGGGGGGGGGATCTCTTAATCCCTTCTTTTCTCCGCCCTTTTTCTCGTAGTAAAAGACACAGACTAGGGGTTACCACTTGATGCTGGATTTATAAATCTTTCCTCTGAGTGACTTTGGCGCTCAAACAATGAGAAATGTGTAAATAAAAAAAATAAAAAAAGGTGTGCATGTCTTCTGTCAAGGAGAAGGTTGGGGTTTGTAGGACTTTTCTTTAAGTGAGCACATTGTCTGAATCCAGGATTCCAGGAATTCCAGGTCATTAATCTGAGCAATCTGAATTCCTGCCAGCCATGAGGCAGGGAAGGAATAGCACAGGGGAGGAGTGAGGTATTTACTTTCAATGTAGTTAAAGCTCTACTTGAGTTAAGCTGAGATGCAGGCAGGCGTCAACATACTGCATCTCCAATGCTAGTCACACTTAATCTGCATCATTCTGACATGAAATCTCTGAACATTCAGAAAGCTCAAATTCAACAGTTCCCGAACCAATGAAACCATTCATGTCTAATCCTGTAATATCTAAATTTCCCTAAATTGAAAAACATAGTCTCTCCATAAAGAATGGTTAAAAAAACCCAATAACCATGAATAATTCATATGAGCAGACACGCAAATCAATATTGGATCGTTTATGTGCAGCTCAAGCCCAGCTGTCATTGCTTCTTCAATGAGATGCACATCCATCCAAACACAAAGCATCTACATTAGGGCTCTGTAACTTTCCTCTTTTCATGCAAACCCTCTCACTCATCATTAGTAGGACTGAAGGGGTGGGGCATATCGGTACGCGTAAAAGAAGAAAAAAAAAAAACTTTGATAACTTGAGGTAAATTCAATGAAAACAGTAGGCTACCTAAACAATGACGCCGTAAATTGAAAAACCACGGAATAACATTAAAGTAAATATAACCATGGTTTTGTTCAGGCTTGCTTAAGCTTCTACAGCACATATTGCTCTCCTCTAAGCAGGCTAGGAAGAGGAAGAGAACAGCGAGGGGGGGGGGAAGCGAAGGCAAACTGTAATCTACAGACAACAATGTTACGGGCTCCGTATTAGTTTGTAACAGTGATAACAACAACGTCAAAAAAAAAAAAAGCCCAAGTGTAAAGGTTGAAACAGTGAGCAACATAGTTTAAACGTCGCCTCTGAACCCACTTTCAAGGACACTGCAGCTTAAACAGCCGAGCAGCTTTTAACAGAAGCGGCAGAGCTCGAACCACTACACCGCATCGAGAAACTACTCAGTGTTTCACAAAGATAGGGCAGAGTGTTGATATTTACCCTGGTGTTTTTGCCGGAGAAGCCGTTGTATGGGTTGATTCCTGTCCTTGGCGGCACAGAGAGCAGCATTTTTACGCGGCGCTGTGTCCAGAGGAACGGAGAGCTGAGGCAGTCAGCTGACGTCAGACAGGGAAATTCAGCCAGGAACAGCGGTAGTGATTGGAGACGCTCTTCCCAGCACTCTATGCACATTATACTCTGGCTGTACGCTTATGTGTTGTATCTGACTTTATGTGACGGGTTCATACCCCAACGGTCCGCTCTTGAACCATTATAGCCTACAACACGGTTTACTCGAGAGACAAACATTAATATATTCTTGAATTATAAATTCCTAACATCTTGTTCCAACCGTGTGGTACCCCGGGGGGACCTAACGCTTGGGTGTCCAGGGCTGAGTAGAAATATGTAGGTTTATAGAGGTCCCAACTAATTTCAGAAAAACAGAAATGATCATGATTTGAATTAAAGCAGGAAGATAATTAAATACGTATGTTGCTAAAACTAACAAAAAAAATACAAAAATGAATAGTTAAAAAGGTGTAAGTAGCCTATTAGCTAAACTTAACAGATAAACAGATGAAATATTTTGATAAAGTATGCTGGAAATGTATAGGCCTATGTAAAAGCAAAGAATAGATAATTGAAAATGTAAGCCAAAGTAGGCTAATTTGTAAAAAGTTGGAACATACACTAAAAGTTCCCCAAAAAAGTTCCTAACATTGTGACAAACACAGTAGCCTAGCTATTTGATTTGATATTTAAAATACCATGAAAAAGCAATAACCACTCTTTATGGATGGCTAAGTATTGTCTGGTGAGTTACAGGAAAACTATGTGGGATAGATTATGTATTTACACAAAAAAAAAGAATGAACGAAAGAAAAAATAATTGAAACATGAAAAACGCAGAATTAAAAACACAAACATGAACAGAGATGTGAAAGCTCTACATATTCATATCAGCAAAGCGTTAAGTAGATACACTTTCATTTTGCTGTTCTTACATCTAATTTGATAGAATTAATGTTATCTGGGTTGCTTCACATACAAGGAAGCATTCTTGTCCTTGAAAAGTAATGCTTTCATGACAATATACCTGCCATCCACCTTTTGATTAACACCTTAATCACAGTTTCTATAGAACACTTATTTTGACACTTTATGATATAACAGTACCTCTTAATTAATATTCTTGTTTGCATGTTTCAACTCTTGATAAATAACATTGCAACCCTCCATTTTTTAATTCCCTTTGCTTTTAAATAGCTTCCATCATATGATGAAAAAGGTTTGTATCAACAGAAGTTGCGTGGCAACTAAGTCCCCTGACCCTTTTGCCTTGTCTTGCGTACCCTGACTGATTAGCCCCCATGTGTATAGAAAACATATGCAATTGTTCAATCAGCCATACAGTGTATTTTTCTAGCTATGGCTTTTGCATAACACATTTGCACAACTGTGCTGCACAGAAAGACAGAGGACAGGCCTTATGTTGATCTACATGCACAAGGGATTTCATCCTGATTTCATCATGACAGTCTAGTCAGACAGACGGGAGAGGCTCAGCTGAATTCATAATCTCTATCCATCTCTCTCTATCTCTCCCTCTAGCTCTCTGTTTTCCCACACACATGCATTTGCACAATTTGCATTAAAATAACATTATTCTACATTCCCATTATTCTCTCTAGCCAGATATTGATGACCCCAACCCCCCAACCTGGACTGTTATCAGACCCCAATTAGGTCACCCTCAGTTGTTCACTCCCCTGTTTAAATCCATGCAATGTTTTGATATGTTGTGTGCAAGTGTTCAGCCAGATGGACTGTGAGTTCCACCGAGCTCAAGGACAGTTTTGGGAGTGATTCAGTCAGCAGAGGGCCTGAGCCAGCCAACACTCACAGATTTGACCAATAACGGGAATAGTGGGGGCCTGTTGGGAGCTGTGGGGTTTGGATTGGGCTCACTAGATGGGTGAAATAACACTGATTTGATTGTAACTGTATACCACAGCCAGGCTGTTTCATTTGGAATACTCTGGTTGGAGAAAAATAACATTACATAAATAACACCTGTATTATCTACAACTCAAAGACTCGTGTGAAAATGTCATGCTGAACTAGGTCTTACTAGCAGGCTGTAAGGGGAAGGGGGGGGGGGAGGTCTGCAGATGGGTGAGAAGTGAGTTGGGGTGAGTGATGGGGGGTTAGGAGAACCAGGCTTTTGGTGCATGCTCTGCATTCCTCAGGTGTTGTCAGCATAGCTTGCCCAGTAATTACCTCTCTGTGAAAACATGCACAAAGCAACAAGTTCGCAGCCAACTAAAAAGGCTGAAATACAGAGAGGCTGTGAGGTCGGATTTCAGAGATGGATGGTGGTACATTTATGTTAACGCTTGTTCATGTGCTTAGTTGGAATGGTGATTTAAAATTTAAAAAACGAGTGTAGCAAAGTCAAATCTGTTGAAACAGACATTGTGTAGTTCATGCATGAGCACAGCTACATTTTCAGAGCAAAGATGTGTGAGAGTCAGGGAGTATGATTTATACAGCAATCCATCTCCTCAAGGATATGGGTAGGTTGGGTAATGATTGTTGCCAAGCAGACCTTGGCATGTGAATCTAGTGGTGTTATACAGATGAACACTTGCAAAAATGGCGGTCAGTCTTCCCACACACAATTTTTATTAACTTTGCATGCAGGGAGTAGATTCTTGTGATCCTCCCAATGTGCTGCTTTACATTATTCTCTTCAGACGTCATCACCTCCCTCACTGACACCACGGTCCCTGTGAAGAGCAGGTACTCTTTGTCTGGGAACTCTCTTCTCACCCTCTCCTCTGCCCCCGCTCTGTCTCCTCGGGTTGGCTCGGGTTGGCTCGCTAAAAGCTGGGGGATTGTGTGCAGATGTGCCTGGAGAGAGGCCAGCCCCTCTGCCCTGGGAGAACATGTGGTCTGGGAGTGTTTACGCTGGCACTCTTTCAAGCTGTCTCCCGCACAGCATGCTGGCGTCTGTCTCTCCTGGATGACAATGCTCAACCCTCTTCTCACAAAGGGGGTATTCTCAGGTTCAGGTGACATAAGTGTCATGTTGGTTTACTGCCAGAATGTAAATAAAAGGCAAACAAATGTGCTAACATCCAAAAAATGTCTTTCCCAATACACCTGCGTAGCTACATTAATGAAATAGAATAAAAGAAGGGCTGAAAAGACAACAGTACACTGCTTTTGTAAGTATTTACCCTCAAACTTCTCCTCCGTTTCTAAACTCTGAGTGAAAATAAGATGGGATTCAACAGATATTCTGACTTCAGGCACGTTTTTCACAGATTCTCAACATTCTTCACATTCCCCCCTGTGATTCTAGCTCTGGGTAAACATCTGCAAACTGAAGAACCCTGAGACACACACTTTCTTTACACCAAGGGCAGCAAGGTTAATGTCAGTTTGTGTAGTGTGAAGTACTCACTGTTGGGACAAGAAGAAAAACACTGCATAATACCGTCGACTTGCAGGAATTACAAAATGTATGAACTTTTGGTTACAATAGCAATGAAGAGGTATTATCTACTTGTTTTCACATTTTATCCAAATGACACTCTGATTAGAGCCCGCTCAGTGCCTTTTATAATTCACCAAATGTTGCATTGTCAAATTCATTTTTGTCATGTTATGAAAATGAGTTCTAGTCAGTATCTCCCTCTGTAATGTTAGTGTTCAGCTCCCCCTGCAGGCTTCATGTTTTATGATCCTAACCAATCATATCTCAAAAGACACTGTTGATCAAAGCTGGTAAGCAGGTATACATTTGTTATTGGCTTATGGGAGCTATACAAATGCTATTTCTAATATTCTTTGATTATTATTATTTTTTAATAAAGAGAGCTATATCTTATAAGATTTTGCGGAACTGTTCATACATATTTCCACCAAGAGCCAATTTTGATGTAATTTTTTTAATAATCAGATCCTGATAATACATTTTAGGCTCTAAATAATGGATAGTCTTGGATAGTGGGAATCCTTAAAAACCTTAAATATTCCAGGATATGTTGATATGGCACTGGAATTGTCTAATATGGATTCAGGAAATTCTGCAGATTTGATGGGATTTGATGAATCTGAACCACAGAATAATTCAGGGCATTTTCACTTTTATCTCTCCCAACCAAACGTACTAAGTAATGTGCAGTTACATTTTTAGTTTCTGAATAATTACCTTTCTTAACAGCTGGGGAGGTATTGTGCTGTCTGTTGTTCATGCTTTATACATCCACATCTATTTCATTAAAAGATTTTGCCCATGTGTCATTAGTCCTAAACCACTAGGGGGCGTGATTCAATGAAGATTGGAGGTCCTCCACAGCAGCGTTGGTTAAACATAAACTTTTTACTGACCCGTCTTTCTTTCTATTCTGTTTTGACCTGTGAAACAATGTGCAACTCAGAATACGGCTGAGTTAGAAAAGATAATGTCATAACACGGGTGTTTGAGATAACAAGGAGAATGACACAATTTCAGTTTTAAAGTATAGGCTTGTAGTTTTTTCAGGCTCTAGTAAAACATGTAATGATGTTGAATCAGTATTTCTGAAAGTGATTTGATTCTTTTACAAAAATGATCGATGACATCAACAAAGAAAGTTTGAGTTCATTAGATCAAGTAAAGGTAACATTGATGTTAGCAAATAAAAACGGTTTGTTAAACAACTCTGTAAGCGGCATGAATGTTTGCAGGAATTCAACTTCACATTTTAATGACGCTATTGGAGTTTTTTTTATTTTTTTACAGTATCAGCATTCTTTTGAATTTTTGAGCCAACATGGCTCCAGCCAGGGCGCCAGTCGCAGGCAGCGCCGCCTGTCTTCTCCTACCTCCACGGTTGTTGAAAAAGCGCAAGAAATAGGAGAAAAGGAGGTGTGCATGAGCATGCGCAGACGATTCTCACCGCTGATTTATCCCATTTTTGAGGAGTCGAGCTTACGTCACAGGCTCGTTCACAGTGCCGGAGCTTCTCTGATATTCACCATCCACTCATGCAACCTCAAGCACAGGCGGGCATTGGCTCTCCGAGGGGAAAATACGCTTTTACTTTTTAAATTGTCTTTTTAGTTTTCCCACG